ATGATGCCAAATATGAGACAACTCAACATGAGTCGGTGTTTAGAGGAAAGGAGGATCGAGAGACATTTTATTGTTGCCATGCTCAGGAGTTTCATTATATCCAAGGCTGGATTATAACCCCCACCCCCAAAAATATAATAAATAAAACAAACCTCACCAATGAATAATTCATGATTTGACACTCAGGGGGAGTGCAGTGGGTGGGACCATGGTTGCATGACTGTTTCTGTCTTGGCCTGTTTAATGAGTTCTTTAGTTCAACCCTGCAAATGCAGGAGAGATTTAGGAGAAATAGGAAAAAAGGTGTTTGTACAAAGCCTGGCAGAGAGAGGGGGCGAGAGAGAGAGAGAGTAAAGGGTAGAGAATGTAAAGTCTCAAACATGGATCCATTTCAACCATGCATGTAAAAATCTTGCTTTCTACTAAAACAATGGAACAAAGAAGGATGGGTGTGGCTTTGCTGTAAGCAAATGTGGAAATCCTTACTAAAAAAGCCCTGAACAGTGTATCTACTTTAAACATGAGTGAGACGTGTTTAAGACTGTAGGAAAGCTTATAAATAGCTGTGAATTTCTTAAAGATCGGTAAGTTGTCAGTTTGTGTTATTTTCATTCATAAAAAGAAACTGCTCTTCAGGGAAAAAACAAAAAACAGAAAACAAGATCAATCAGAGCAAAATTGCTGATGGGGAGATGAAAACTAAAGTGATGCATGCCACAGAGAAGCAAAGCGGTGCTAAGAGGTGGGAGGAGTCATTTTTTATTGATTCAGGCATTAATGTACATTATGTACAAATTGGTCGAGGGTGGCCCCTCATGCGCAGTCCAGTGCTGTGCCAACAAATGTAAGTATTTGTCTTGATATCCACTTGTGGGCAAATAGGAGCTTGAATATATGATCCAAATCTATTTTGTTTGGCCATTTTACCTCCCGTTACATGCTCTATAGTCATGTTTTTTTTATTACTTTTATTTTCTTATTAAAATATGTACAAAAAGGGCATGCTGCAGGAAATATCTGTGAATCTTCCCTTGTCGGGAGTCCCACCCCTGCTTTTATTTATGACAGCTGAATCGTACACAGGAGGGTGTAAATAAAGAATGGAGAAAACCTATATTTCCCAAAGATGGCTCAGACTTTGACAGTTGACGATCTGTCAGCCTTTTCATACCAGTGGCTCAAGCACCATGAATCAGCGTGCTCAGGAGGAGAAAACCCAAAGATACTTGCTCAGGACCATTAGGGGTTTGTGTTTCTCTATGCTGATGATACTTGTGTTTATTCCAATAATTTGATGTGCTATTGCAGAGCTCCATTCCAATGCAGACTCTTACCAAGGTCTGCACGCAGACAAAAGCAAACACACTTGACACACGCCCATACACAACCGTGTCCCTTTGTGGACCGTTGCCATGCAACATTTCTCTGATTGAGTTAGTTGAGCTCTGGTGAATGTGCACTCACACACACACATACGCAGGCACACCCCACACACACACGTGTGCTCCTGCCAGTTGATGAGGATCAGATCACACACAAACTCGTCGCCACACCCATCCTCCTCTCCCACGGGACACAGCTGCTCCTCCAAGGCCGAGGATGGAGAGGAAATAAAAAAAACATGACTCTTACAACAAGAGGGAAGTGCTCTGTTTGTCTCCATGAGCTCTGCTGCTCAGTCCGTCAAGGCTTTCTTTAGTTGTGATGATTGATGGTTTGTGGGTGGTAAAGTTAAGCTTTATTGCCTAGAAAGAACCCAGCCCTTGCAATTTGTCTTAAAATGCATGGCTTCTCTTTGAATTTAATCAGTAATAAACACCACCATTTGATTTCTGAATTTTATGCATGTGCTTCAACTTCCTTTTTATGAATATGCTTTATTTCTATTGATTTAGCTGTGAAAAGAATGCTTTCACCTCAGGTGGACTTGACATACTCGGCTCAGTTTTTTATTGTATGTGCTGCAGGATTTATAAGCCTATTTTCTTTTCAATGAGTTCATAGTTGTGTTTGCAGTGAGTGAAGACCCCTCCTCAGAGATACACTGTAACTGTATAATCCCAAGGTATATTAACTCTTGAATCATTTTCTGAGAGGCTTAACTGCTTGTGTTAACTTATTCTCCATAGTATAAAGTGTCAAGGATTAGACATTGATTGGAAGGATTTTGTTGTTTACAAAAATTTATTCATACAAATCTTACAACACTTTCATGACATTGAGAAACGTAAAAACCCCATATAAGGACTTGTGTGTATTTAATGATGCCACTTTGCACTGAGGTTAACTTCTAAAACACAATTGCTGAAATAGATAAGAGTTTAAACATTAAAGTAAGGCGTTGGGCGCTGTCAGAACTATCAACAACAGGCATTTGCTGAACATCTCAGTTATTTTGCTCTTTTTTTCATTTATTAAATATAGTGATGCAAAGAGTTGTGTATATATATATATATATATATTTATATATATATATATATATATATATATATATATA